CATACATTGTTAAATGATGGTTTCATCAAACACTTCTTTTCAATGTATATATTCGGCAGAAAGATTCACTTTGTCAATTATGATGNGTTTATTGACCTTCTCTCGATCGGAAAATACTAATTCCTTTATGATTGTTGATCGGTGTTCTGCTGAAAACCAAATAGATGTCTAATTTACACATTATTGATTAACCCAAGTTTTAAAACTTAGGATTCCCAAATAATATAAGCCGATTTCTGCTCTGCATACATTGTTAAATGATGGTTTCATCAAACACTTCTTTTCAATGTATATTTTTGGCAGAAAGATTCACTTTGTCAATTATGATGTTTTTAATTCATAATTGATCTTTTTAAAAAAGGCTAAAATCTCGTAGATGATTTTTTCTCAGAGAGCTAGTTTAACAACAATATTGTGNATGTCTTCAAATTACACATTATTGATAAACCGAAGTTTTAAAACCTAGGTTTCCCAAATAATATAAGCCGATTTCTGCTTTGCATACATTGTTAAATGATGGTTTCATCAAACACTTCTTTTCAATGTATATATTCGACAGAAAGATTCACTTTGTCAATTGTGATGTTTTTAATTCATAATTGGTCTTTTTAAAAAAGGCTAAAACCTCTTAGATGATTTATGTTTTTAATTCATAATTGGTCTTTTTAAAAAAGGCTAAAACCTCTTAGATGATTTTGTCTCAGAGAGCTAGTTTAACCACAATATTGTGATTGCCTCCATAATTTTTGAAAAGNTATTTTTGGCAGAAAGATTCACTTTGTCAATTATGATGTTTTTAATTCATAATTGGTCTTTTTAAAAAAGGCTAAAATCTCTTAGATGATTTTGTCTCAGAGAGCTAGTTTATGCACAATATTGTGATTGCCTCCATAATTTTTGAAAAGTACCAACTTTTTGTATTTTTGGTTTTCCAAAAAAAATATTGGAGTGATACTGTTCATAGTTTTTTGATTAAACAGTAAATAAAATTATAACCTTCTGAACTTTATATGTATAAAAGGAATAATTATTCTGATCGTTGAAGAAGTTGCGTTTATTGACCTTCTCTCGATCGGAAAATACTAATTCCTTTATGATTGTTGATCGGTGTTCTGCTGAAAACCAAANGCCGATTTCTGCTTTGCATACATTGTTAAATGATGGTTTCATCAAACACTTCTTTTCAATGTATATTTTTGGCAGAAAGATTCACTTTGTCAATTATGATGTTTTTAATTCATAATTGATCTTTTTAAAAAAGGCTAAAATCTCGTAGATGATTTTTTCTCAGAGAGCTAGTTTAACCACAATATTGTGATTGCCTCCATAATTTTTGAAAATTACCAACTTTTTGTATTTTTGGCTTTCCAAAAAAAATATTGGAGTGATACTGTTCATCGTTTTTTGATTAAACAGTAAATAAAATTATAACCGCTTGAACTTTATATGTATACGAGGAATTATTATTCTGATCGTTGAAGAAGTTGCGTTTATTGACCTTCTCTCGATCGGAAAATACTAATTCCTTTATGATTGTTGATCGGTGTTCTGCTGAAAACCAAATTCATGTCTTCAAATTACACATTATTGATAAACCGAAGTTTTAAAACCTAGGTTTCCCAAATAATATAAGCCGATTTCTGCTTTGCATACATTGTTAAATGATGGTTTCATCAAACACTTCTTTTCAATGTATATATTCGGCAGAAAGATTCACTTTGTCAATTATGATGTTTTTAATTCATAATTGGTCTTTTTAAAAAAGGCTAAAATCTCTTAGATGATTTTGTCTCAGAGAGCTAGTTTAACCACAATATTGTGATTGCCTCCATAATTTTTGAAAAGTACCAACTTTTTGTATTTTTGGTTTTCCAAAAAAAATATTGGAGTGATACTGTTCATCGTTTTTTGATTAAACAGTAAATAAAATTATAACCGCTTGAACTTTATATGTATAAAAGGAATAATTATTCTGATCGTTGAAGAAGTTGCGTTTATTGACCTTCTCTCGATCGGAAAATACTAATTCCTTTATGATTGTTGATCGGTGTTCTGCTGAAAACCAAATTCATGTCTTCAAATTACACATTATTGATAAACCGAAGTTTTAAAACCTAGGTTTCCCAAATAATATAAGCCGATTTCTGCTTTGCATACATTGTTAAATGATGGTTTCATCAAACACTTCTTTTCAATGTATATTTTTGGCAGAAAGATTCACTTTGTCAATTATGATGTTTTTAATTCATAATTGATCTTTTTAAAAAAGGCTAAAATCTCGTAGATGATTTTTTCTCAGAGAGCTAGTTTAACCACAATATTGTGATTGCCTCCATAATTTTTGAAAAGTACCAACTTTTTGTATTTTTGGTTTTCCAAAAAAAATATTGGAGTGATACTGTTCATCGTTTTTTGATTAAACAGTAAATAAAATTATAACCTTCTGAACTTTATATGTATAAAAGGAATAATTATTCTGATCGTTGAAGAAGTTGCGTTTATTGACCTTCTCTCGATCGGAAAATACTAATTCCTTTATGATTGTTGATCGGTGTTCTGCTGAAAACCAAATTCATGTCTTCAAATTACACATTATTGATAAACCGAAGTTTTAAAACCTAGGTTTCCCAAATAATATAAGCCGATTTCTGCTTTGCATACATTGTTAAATGATGGTTTCATCAAACACTTCTTTTCAATGTATATTTTTGGCAGAAAGATTCACTTTGTCAATTATGATGTTTTTAATTCATAATTGTTCTTTTTAAAAAAGGCTAAAATCTCTTAGATGATTTTGTCTCAGAGAGCTAGTTTAACCACAATATTGTGATTGCCTCCATAATTTTTGAAAAGTACCAACTTTTTGTATTTTTGGTTTTCCATAAAAAATATTGGACTGATACGGTTCTTCCTCTTCTGATTAATCAGTTAATAAAATTATAACCGCTTGAACTTTATATGTATACAAGGAATTATTATTCCGATCGTTGAAGAAGTTGCGTTTATTGACCTTCTCTCGATCGGAAAATACTAATTCCTTTATGATTGTTGATCGGTGTTCTGCTGAAAACCAAATTCATGTCTTCAATTTACATATTATTGATAAACCGATGTTTTTATAAACTGGGTTTCTCGAATAATATTAGACGAGTTTCGTTTTTCATACATTGTTAAAACGGTTGTTTCTTTAACAACATCTTGTCAATATATATACTTGACAGAAATAGTGACTTTGACAATTATGACGTTTTAAATTTATTATACGTCACCACATTAAAGTGTAGAAAAACGTTCATAATTATGGATCAAAAAGCTGCTGAAACCCTTATTTGTGATTCCCTCCCACTTTTTTTATGAACACAAATTTTTTATATTTTTTGTTTTCCATATAATACAGTAAAATCTCTTTATAACTGAATCGTTTGAGACCAAACATTTTTCCGTTTTAAAGAATTCTCCGTCATAGAGAGGTAGAAAAAAAAATTTAATCCTACTATTCGGTAAAATATAATATAAGACGTTTGATCATATTTAAATTTTGGTCGAATCAAAAATTTAGGACATTCTTTATTAATTATAGCTGCCGCCGTATATGAATGAAGCGATGAGTGTACACTGGTCGAGAACTACCGAAAATAAATTTTTTTTTTCGTAGCACATTTTGTTTTTAATTCTATGCAATACGAAAATTATATTTATTCTTTTTTCAATCTATCGTACGGCAAAATATTGGTTCTACAAAACGTAGCAAAAAAACAATATTTGTAGGTCGTTGTAACTTTTTCGTGACATTGATATCCTCTTTTTTTTTATATTAAATAAAGAGAAAAAATGTTAAAATATGATTATTTGTCATGGGCATTCAAATACAACCATATGATTTGATGTAAAATTCAAGTTTTTGCTACGTTTTGTAGAACCCTTATTTTGTATAAATTGAAAATTGATAAATTGAAAAAAAAATATAAATAATTTTCGTATTGTGTAGAATTAAAAAAAAAATGTGCTCCGAAAAAAAAATTTATTTTCGATATTTTTCGACCAGTGTACACTCATCGCTTCAATCATATACTGCGGCAGCTATAATTTATGAATAATGACCTAAATATTTGATTCGTTTATTCCGCGGTGGCGACGCTAAATTGATATGGCTAAATTATCACGAAGACGTGACTAAAAGTGGACTAAAATAAAAATAATAATCTAGAAAAAAATAGCAAATTAATATCTGTGAAATCCTGCAATAGCGATGCATTGCACGGTCAGCAAGTATATTTATGTATATATATACGGAAAAAAAAGTGACTTTGACATTTAAGACAAGGAAATTTCTTTATACATCGTTTTATTGATTAGTAGAGAAACTTAGATGATTATGGATTAATGTGCTACTGAAACTCATGTTCGTAATCCCCTCCCACATTTTTTTTAAATACCATTTTTTTTTTTTTTTGTTTTCCATATAATACAGTAAATTCTCTCCATAACGGAATTGTTTTGGACCAAACATTTTTCCGTTTTAAAAGAATTTTCCGTCACTGAGAGGTAGAAAAAAAATAAGTTTCCAGACTGTATGTATGTATGTATGTATGTGTTAAAAAATTATATTTTAGGCAAATATTTACTTCGTACAACATAAATTTATACAATTAGATTATAATGTATGACTTAATATTTAAATGTGTTTTTGTATAATACTAAAGAACTAAGAACTAAAAAAAAACATTTTAAATAAATAATAACAAATTTGTACCTTTTTTATAATTTTAGAAAAATAGTTTTTAATATTAGAATGCTGTTTGTTTTTTGGAGTAGTATTAGTATTTTTATATTACATAGTTCGATCTATGGGTGACATGCAGCATTATCTAAGAATATCAGGGCATTTCTATTCTGAGATCGCATATCTGTGTTAAAATAATGCAACCATTGCTCCATTATCACAGTGTTCATCTAACCTTTTTTATTAAATTTCCATATGGCAGGTAATGAAGAAATATCTATGCTCTTAAAACACTGTTGTTTTTTAGACCTTCCAATGGTTTCCTTATTTCTCCAGCCATATTACCACATATAAGCACTGTTATGTGATCCTTTGCTTTTTTTCCTCCAGAACATGACTCACTCTTCAGGACTAGTGATTCGGTAGGAATACCTTTAAAAAAAAAGGCCCATTTCATCATCATTGTACACATCTTTTGCTTCATATCCAGCAATGAGTCTTGAGATTTTTCGATTCCACTGCTTTAGTGAAAAGTTATATATATTGTACTTCCCTCTGTTGGGAATTCCAAAATCGTAGATGATTGTTGATCATTGTTAAGTTGGAAACTCATATTCTTGATCCCCTCCCACATTCTTTTATAAATACCAATATTTTATTTTTTGGGTTATTGATCCCGGTTTTCATCTATTGTTTACTCAGTTACGACTGTTGCAACCCACTATTTGTGGGATTGTATTATATTATTATGTATTAAGAATGTAATACACACACAAAAAAAAAAAAAGAAAAAAAAAACAATAATATGAAAATACATCTTAATATTATTATACCTTGTACAAAAAAAAATATATATATCATCTAATCTTCATATTGTATTACTTTTCATACTCAAAAAAAAAAAATAATAAACATAATAATTGTTACATTATATTATTATGCATTTACATATACCTAGAATCTAAACACAAAACACGTTATTCTCTCAAATATTGTATTAGACCAAATTGTAACTCACTTACAAAATATGTTTTGTATCG